AGGGTCCTGGAAGGCTCCCTCGGACCCTTCCGACGCTCCCCCCACCCTCCCACGGGTGCAGGGGGGTTAAAATCGCCAGCTTCTGGCAGTGTTTTGAGGCTTGGGAAGCCTCAAAACACTCCCAGAAACTGGTGATTTTGCCAGTGGGAGGAGCATCGCAAGGGTCTGAGTGAGCTTCCAGGACCCTTGCAACGTTCCCCCCACCTGGAAGCTGGCGATTTCGCCTGCGCTGGCCCCGTGGGGGGTGGGGGAGCATCGCAAGGGTCCTGGAAGGCTCCCTCGGACCCTTCCGACGCTCCCCCCACCCTCCCACGGGTGCAGGGGGGTTAAAATCGCCAGCTTCTGGCAGTGTTTTGAGGCTTGGGAAGCCTCAAAACACTCCCAGAAACTGGTGATTTTGCCAGTGGGAGGAGCATCGCAAGGGTCTGAGTGAGCTTCCAGGACCCTTGCAACGTTCCCCCCACCTGGAAGCTGGCGATTTCGCCTGCGCTGGCCCCGTGGGGGGTGGGGGAGCATCGCAAGGGTCCTGGAAGGCTCCCTCGGACCCTTCCGACGCTCCCCCCACCCTCCCACGGGTGCAGGGGGGTTAAAATCGCCAGCTTCTGGCAGTGTTTTGAGGCTTGGGAAGCCTCAAAACACTCCCAGAAACTGGCGATTTTGCCGGTGGGAGGAGTGTCACAAGGGTCTGAGTGAGCTTCCAGGACCCTTGCAACGTTCCCCCCACCAGGAAGCTGGTGATTTCGCCTGCGCTGGCCCCGTGGGGGGGTGGGGGAGCATCGCAAGGGTCCTGGGAAGGCTCCCTCGGACCCTTGCGACGCTCCCCCCCACGGGGTCAGTGGGGGCGAAGTCACCAACTTCGCACCATAAGACGCACAGACTTTCTACCCCCCTTTTGGAGGGGAAAAAAGTGCGTCTTATGGTGCAAAAAATACGGTAATTGGTGTCAACTAGCTCTTTTATAACAATGTCAATACCATGCTTATAGCAGTCAAATTTAGTCCATAGAAAATGTTTAGAGTGCTACCAGCCATGTAACACGAGATACAATTCCTCATGAAGATGGTACTATTATTTTTATGGAATATGGTCAATCAAAATAGTTTTATACAGTAGCATGATTTCCATAAATTTTCAGTAGCTGACATGCTATCATCAATATAATATGAGTATATTTCTTCTAGGATGTCACAGAAGAGATTCAAGCAAATGATAGACAGAATGCTGCAGTTTATTTCTTTACGCCTCTTTCCTGCCAAACCCGAGGAACTGCCTCTTATTGAGAAGTGCACCTGGTGGATTCCATCAGCAACCAAAGTCTTGTCTTTATTTAGTAGGTTTTCCCAGGCACAATTAGTTTTTGTTTCTTCTTCTACTTTGATGTTTTTTTCCTTAATAGGGTTAGATAAAGGTAAAGGTTGCCCTTGACATTTAGTCCAGTTGTGTCCGACTCTAGGGGGCTGTGCCCATTTCCAGGCCGTAGAGCCAGCGTTTTGTCCGTAGACAGTTTCCATGGTCACGTGGCCAGCGTGACTAGAGACGGAATGCCGTTACCTTTCCCTATAGGAGGTGGTACCTATTTATCTTCTCACATTTTTACATGCTTTCAAACTGCTAGGTTGGCAGGACTGGGACAAGTGACGGGAGCTCACTCTGTTGCGTGGATTCGATCTTACGACTGCTGGTCTTCTGACCTTGCAGCACAGAGGCTTCTGCGGTTTACTTTTTATTATATATCTTCAACCCATTACTTGCCTGCTACTAGGTCAAATTTATATTTTTAAGTGCCTTCCCTCTCCCACTTTGCTGGCCTCCCTTGCAAAATTAGCTGCCTTCTAGATTTTGGATCCACTGGCAACAACTCTTCCATTCATGAGCTCAGTGAAGTATCTGCTTTCACCAGTTTTTTGAAGTTCAGTGGAATATCCCACTCTAACAGACTTTTCTGCCCTCACAAAAACTGAACTTTTTGTCAACTTCCTTTTGCTGACAATTTCTAGTTGCACAAAATATTTCTGACTTTATAATAACACAATAGCAAGTCAGGTAATAGTGGGGCAAGCGCAGACTTGGGAATATTTCTGTCAATGTTTAGCCCAGTGGTTCCTAACCTTGGGTCACTAGATGTTCTCAGACTCCCAGAAGCCTTCACCACTAGTTGTACTGACTAGGATTTCTAGGAGTTTTAGTCCAAGAACATCTGGGGGCACCAGGTGGGGAACCACTGCTTTAGCCTGTTATACCTATCTATAGTAAAAGCACATGCCAGTACAGTATAGATTTATCACTTACTGTATTCATTCTAATAGAGGTTTAGTTTTTTGTTAAATGAGAACCTAAAACCGATACAGGTACTTGCTTTACCATCTGAAAGTACCTAACACTGCTGTACAAGTCTTGTTGCCTGTCACAGCATTCAATTAAATAATGCAGAAGTGCTTGAGGCTACCAAGATGATTTGTGTAGTCCTCTAGTTCCACTAGACATGTTGAAAAAATGAACACAGAAATGAGGCTATTATTTTATTGAAACTATGCTAAACAGTAAGTCCTATAAGGATAGTAATGCTGAATGTATTGCTTACATGAGCAGTGCCATTGTGCAAGCAGAGTGCAGTTTTCTTTATGGAGCTAATCACTTGTGCAACAGCAGCAGTCAAAGAAAATAGTGCCATTCTGTATTATTGCACCAGCAGAACTTTTCATTCTGTGGAATCTCAGTAGAATATCGGCCTGACAGTTCAGGAACAAGTAAAAAGACACCCAGTTTCATTGACTTGTTCTAGAGTCTAGAGTTTGCTGATGAAACGATTTCTATTCGTGGAAGGCTCATGGAGTGGGAGCCTGGGGTACTTTACTGCTAGCCCTGTTCACAGTCTGCCTATAGAAGGAATACATTCTGATCTAAAAGTATTCCTTGAAGAAAAAAACACTTTAATATTTGTCTTTCTTCACAGTGGTACAGTATCTGGTTTTTATACCATCCAAGCAGGACCATAAAATGTGACCTAGGAGGAATACTAATTATGATGGGAGAGTAGGATGCAGTGATTCCACAACAGTAATTTGTAAAAAATGTTCCACTGCAAATGTGAGGGCCTTGAGTTGGTTATAAAACAAAAATGGTCTGGATGTAATAACTGTTTTCTCTCTTTTTAAAAATGTAGTAGATTGTGCATCATGAAATATTACTCTATCTCTCTTTCTCTCTCTCGCTCTCTCTCTTTTGACATCTTAATTTTAAATCTTTAAACAAAGTTGATTGTCAAGAACTAATTTTGAAAACTTTTGGTTTAAATATTCCTTTGCAGATGCTTCAAATAGTTTAGCTATTCCTCCTATTGTTCCATATATGGATTTCTATAATTCTACACTGGATCATATTGATCTCATGGAAGAATATCAGAATTGGCAAAGTTATGGAAATTCTAACAAGTAAGGAGGAAAATGTCAGAATTTTAATACTGTGGGGCGAGGATCTACTAAATAGCCTAGGCCGGGGGTAGATTACTGACTGTTGCATGTAGTATATTTAGGCTATATTTCAATATTCTATATTTGAAACAATATTCTACATCTAATTTGCCATAATGTAGAACTATGCCCATGGCGTCATTTTGAATTACAGGATTTTTGCATCATTTGAATTACAGATTTAAAAAAAAACACCTTCAGAGGAAAAGCTTTCGTGGAATAGATAGCAGGTAGTAATAATCAGTGTGATGCAGTGCATACAGTGACAGACTAAGACTCAGGAAACCTGAGTTCAAATCCCTACTTGGCTGTGGAAACTCACTGGGTGGCACTGGTAAAATCTCTTCTTATATATACGGTGGTGCCTCGACTTACGATTGCCCCTACATACGAACGTTTCAACTTACGAACAGATCCGGTCGCAAAATTTTGCTTCTACTTGTGACCGGAGCTTCCACTTATGAACACAAAAAGGCAGGGGGAAAGGGCAGGAAATTCAAATAGCTAGCTGTAGGTGGCGATGAGGCTGCTTCTTTGTAGCTCTTTCACCCCAGCAGTTAGAGAGTGTGCGATCCGAGGAAGCTGCCTGCTAAGGTAAGGTGCTGCTTTAAACTTTTAAAAAAGTGTTCTGGGTATTTTTGCAGCATGGTTTTTGATGAGAGGGGTTATGTTTCTGTGCTGTGATGAGTCTTGGGCGGTTTGTTTGTTTTTTGGTTCCCCCCAATTCCGATGGGTCTTGGGGGAGGGTCTGGGTTTTCCCCCCATTTTCAATGTCTCTTGAATGCTTCCCTTGTTTTTTGCTTTGTTCTCTGTGCATTTCTGATCTGCGCCATTTGTTTTCTGTGCATTTGCAATGGTTCCTGCAATTTTTGACTGTCTTTTTTAAAAACAGAGAGCCTGCCTGTTCTGGGTGAGTACTGTACAGGGTTTTTACAACATGGGTTTGGGCTATGTGGGGGAGTTATGTTTCTGTGCTCTGATGGGTCTTGCAGACCCTTTCTGCATGGGTCTGTACTGGCTGTTTTGCTCTGAAATGGGGTTTAGACTCAAGTCTCCCCCCCCATTGTCTTCTCTCTCTCTCTTGCTATGCTGCCCCCCTGTGCTGAGGGGGTCTGTTTGCTGGAATAATGGTTGCTGGATTCTGTGGCTCCTAGGGTTTGTGTACTGTGGTGTGACCTCTCTCTTTAAAAGGTGTTGGTAGATGGGTTTAAAAGGTGTTTGGTTTTAAAATGTGTTTTGTTTCAAAGGTGCTTGGTTTGGTTTAAAATGTGTTGGTGTAAAATGTTTAGGTTTAAAATGTGTGGGTTTAGCATGTGTGGGTTTAAAATGTGTTTTAGACTCCAGACTCTCCCCCATTGTCTTCTCTCTCTGTCTGTCTTCTGTCTTTTTGTGCTTAAAAGCACAAACCTTTGTCTGAGGGGTCTGTGTGCCCCAGTGCTGACCTTCTTTCTTTCCTCTTTTCCCCATTGTTCCCTTTTTCCCTCCTTTCCTGCCCTTTTTTATCCTAAGTCATCTTAGGTTTAAAAAAAATTCTCCCCCTAGTGATGATAGAGGATGGATTAACCGGTTTTAATCCATCCTTCAACTTAACCGGCGCCTCTACATACAAACAAAAAACAGCCAGAACAGATTAATTGGGCTTCAATGCATTTCAATGGGAAATGCTAATTTGACTTACGAACATTTCGACTTGCGAACATCTTCTGGGACGGTTCGTAAATTAAGTTCGTAAATTGAGGCACCACTGTAATTAAAACTCTATTAAGGTTGTCACGAATCACATGTAACTGGATGGCACAGAAGAAACAAAATGATAGTTTATCAGAGTGGTGCAGATAATTATTTTAATTTTCATCTTGTTACATGTTTTTGCAGATCATGATGCTTATACAGTGGGGTCTCTACTTAAGAACTTAATCCGTATTGGAAGGTGGTTCTCAAGTTGAAAAGTTCTTATGTTGAATCTGCATTTCCCATAGGAATGCATTGAAAACCATTTAATCCGTACCTGCTCTTTTCCGTCCATAGAAACTACAGTGGAACCTCTACTTAAGAACTTAATCCGTTTTGGAATGGTGTTCTTAAGTTGAAACGTTCTTAAGTTGAAGCAAAATTTCCCATAGGAATGGACTGAAAACCAGATAATCCGTTCTGGCTGTTTTTTTGTTATGTAGAGGTGCATTCGTACATTGAAGCATTAGTTCCCATAGGAACTAATGCAAAGCTGGTTAATACGTACTCTACCACTAGGGGGAGAATTTTTTTTTAACCTAAGATGACCTAAGGTAAAAAAAAGAGCAGGAAAGGTTTTTTTTTCCTGTTCTTATCTTGGATTTCTGTTCTCAAGTAGAAGCAAAATTTAGCAAATGGAGCTGTTCTTAAGTTGGATTGTTCTTAAGTAGAGACGTTCTTAAGTAGAGACCCCACTGTACATTTTCTTTCAGTAGGATGTATGCCTGTTCACAAAATCTCACTCAATTTTATTCCTAATCTGCATTTAGTATAATCTATCCTCCATAAATTCATTAAAATCAGTGCAGACACTGAAAGAAAATAGGAATTGCTTAAATTGCCCTTGAGCAACAAAAAGTCTTCAAAAACATTTATTGTGCAATAGCTGAAATCCTGTTCCATAATTTGTGCTACATAAGATTAATGACATCATCAGTCATGGCAAATTTAAAGGTATGGACTTTCTGCTCTCTCTCTTGAAGGTCTTGAGCCTTCCATGAGATCTTTTTCATTCTGGAGAAGATATCAGGGATGGGGAAAAGTCATTAATTTTCAAAAATTGCCACTGCCAGTGAAATTATCTTGATGGTTTCCCCAGATGGGAAGGGATCCTATGAGATATCACCAGTGTTATACAACATAAGTTACTAGGCCACAAAGTTTTTCCAGGTGAGCCACATTTAAGTGTTTGTCAGGTGGAAGTCCCAAAAAGGAGAACTGTGAACTTTATAATCCAAAATTTCCATGCTTGCCACCAACCCTCAGCTCCAGAGACAGATACTCCTACTAACTGATCAATGAGCAAATTAATGTGATCGGCGTGTGGCATTTCTGTTAATTAGTTAATGTAATTCAGCATATTATTTTTCTAAATCGTGCGTACTGCTTTCATTTTACACATGATAAGTGGTGTTGTATTCACTTGTTAAAGTATCAGCTACTTTTGCTTCCTTTTGTAATGAATTGCTGCTCCCCAAATGGTTCATAACTAATTATATACAAAAACATTGCTTACTGATTGCTTAAGGAAGAGTTAAGCTTTATAGTGAGTTATGTGCAATCAATGCTTCAGTTATACAGTTATGTCAACCCCAATATTTTCAGCTGTATGAATTTCTGTCCCCAAGAATGTGAGGGTAGACTGTTAGTCTTTCTCATGAGCATAGGAGCAATCTGGACCTATGGAAGGATACTGCCTGTGGGATGACTTAAAAATAAGGTGTAAAATCACATTTGAGTTTCAGCATATTATAAAAGAAAGATTCCACTCTGCACTGAGATTTTTAAAATTGCATTTGCTTTTTCTTACCGAAAAATACATACTGGTACTACACATCAGCTACACCTAGTTTAGCAAGCAAAGAACTGGCAACCTGTATTCACTGATGTAATGAAATAAATATATGTCTTTCAGTAACTACTGTTGGAAGCTTGTTATATGTCTTAATCTAATTCATAATTAAATAGATTTTGAAGTAATATGTTTCTTTCTGTTTTATTATTCAGGTTTTCTTTCTGTCAGTATCCATTCATTATTTCTATAGCAGCGAAAAAAATTATTATTCAGAGGGATTCGGAACAACAAATGATAAATATTGCACGGGTAGGCATAATAATATACAGTGATTAAAACCAATGTGACTGTTTAATAGGAAACAAGAGAGAAATTAGAAGTTGAAAGATGGTTCTACGTATTTGGAAATAGCAATGGCAAGGATTGTCTTAGTCTGTGTCATTCAATCATCAATAGCATTTATTGTTCTTCAATTTACAACCTTAGATTACTGTCATATAACATAAAAATAACTAATGTATCACAAAATAGGGAACCATACAAAATAAATCTTAGTTATCAGAAATAGTTACCAGAACAAGCCTATCAGAGTCAACAATATTGAACAATATATCAATAATATTGTGTGATACCAGTTTTGAACTGAATAGTTGTTGACCAAACAAATATAAAATGTATAAAAAAATAAAGTTAGAATGATTAAGAGTTACTTCCCACAGTGTCGCATTTGGGTTTTTTGGATTCTGTGGAGAGTTGAGAATTTTCCAAAAGAGAGATATGGATCATTATTGTTGTAGTCCTTTAAAGCATCATAGGAATTTGGAGTATAGAATAATTTCATCAGCTACAAATCTGCAGTATATTGACGTGGTTCATATGAGAGCTAACAGGAATGCTAAAAGTGTTGAAATTTTAATGATACATAAGCTGAAATCTTGTGGCTTTGTTACACATGCAGATGGCAAGTGCTGTATCTTTTTATGCCATCTAGAGGGAAATTAACAGCTCCCCACTGGTTTTCTAACATGCACCAAGCCAGTGGGCAAGCATGCTCCCCCGAGAATTCCAGTAGCAACTTACCATTAAAAATGATTGAATGTTAGGGTGCAGAAATTTGTCCTGCTGTTTGGTCACCTGTGAGGATGGGATGGTTCACTCATTTTTCCGGTAAACACGGTGAGTGCCAGCATGAAACAGTCCTTCCCTCAAGTGTTCCTACCTAAACCTTTTTGGCTCCCTGTCAGAGGCAACTAGAGTTAGCCCATTTAGTTCAGTTCCAGTGTATGCAATTGCTGGGATTGAATTAAAGCAGATGGCTTGCTATTTCCATTTCCTATATACTTTCAGTTTCCCAATATGATTAAGTAGCTTCAGCAGACAATTTAGCTACTTAATGATACAGGGAAATTAATTTTTTTTCTCTCTGCTGACCCATGGAGGGGAGGAGGAAGCAAAGGGTTGTTGTTTTTTCAAGCCTAGTTAGGACAACCCTGATGTGTTATGATTTTTTTAAAAAAGAAGGGGAAGCGAGAGAGGGACAAGATGGGAGATTTTTTTTGTTTCTTTGGGTTTTTTCTTTCCCTTTAAAGGGAAGCATGTCAAATAAGTTCCCTTGAGATGTGTATGCCATGTAGAGGCGAAGAGACCAAGCTTTGCCTTCTTGGTACTGATATTTCTGTCATTATGCTGCTCCTAATGCTATCCTCAGAGTGGAGTGTTTTATTAAAACACCTACATTTACACTTGTGTGTTTAAATTGGTATACAAAAGACTCTTTGACAAAAGCGAAAGGTCTGTTATTTTACTTCTTGTATCTGCTTTGTCCTTTCTGTCTTGCATACATTTTTCAATTTTCTGTGAACTACTCGTACAGCTTCAGATTCGGCATCAACAATGATAATAAATTAAGTAACAAAGATAATAAATTAAGTCTGTTTAAGCTACAGTATTAGACATTGACTAAAACCCTGTTCATGGAGTTGTGCCATGTAAGGCTGATGATATCATCAACTGCTGCAATAATTTTTTTAGATAAAATCTTTCTGATTCCACCTGTACCCCCACAAGCTTTCGAAGCTTCCATGGGATCCTTTTTGCTGTGGGGAAGCTGCTGGGGGCTACAAGACGGGGGGGTTCTGAAAAATTGCAAAATCATCCCACTGGTGGAAATTTTCAAAAGTTAGACTCTGCATGTCCCCCCACATGCAGCCCCAACACCTTCACCAGAACAAAAGTGATCCTATGAGAGCATCAGTATCTTCAGCATGGAATCAATTTTCCCCCCTCAAGTTACACAACAGTCTTTCTACCATTAATTGAGATATTTGTCATAATAATTAGTTCTTTAATTCAGTACAAAAAGCATGATATAATACAATAGTTAATCCTGGTTATTTTCTTTCCCTTCCTGATTCTACACAGCAAAGCCTTGTGGACAAAGTCTCTCGGAGGCAGAGACCCGATATGAATATGTTGTTCCTAAATGTGAAAGTGAGAAGAATGCACCTAGTTAGTGATTCATTGGACGAGGTATACAAAACATTTTCTCTAAAGATTGTTGAAAGATGATGTAATGCTTTGGATACAGACTTGTGCAAGACTGTAAAATGAAAATGTTCTCTTGTCCAAAAACAATGTTAAAAGAAAACTATTATTCCTAATTTAAGGGCTTTCCCCCCCTTCTATCTATTGACTTAAATAGCTGACAAGGAAGAGAGCAGATTTGAAAAAAAAACTGAAAGTAACATTTGTAGGAGAAGCTGGTCTTGACATGGGTGGCCTAACCAAAGAGTGGTTTCTTCTTCTAATTCGACAGATTTTTCATCCAGACTATGGTGAGTAGTTCAGTTGAAGCTCTTACAATGTTTACCAAAAGGAGATGAGAATTAATAAATGCAAAAATAGGCTCATTTACAGGTCCTTAAACCAAAATGAACCCATTCAGATACATCCTTTATATCAAATATTTCTTAGTCCTAAATAGTCTGGGGTCTTGTGGATTTCCTTCTTCTCTGTCAATTTACCTCATTAACGTCATCTGCAGAGGTACTGCTTCATGGTTTTTCACTGTCTGAACTATGGTAGGTATGGTATGGAGATCCATGGATTTAATGGACATGTTGAGGTTATAGATCTGGCTTTTCAAGTAGATTTCCTTTCCTTTCCTCCCATTAGTAGCCAAAAAAATGAGCAAAAATATTGAATTGCAGAGAGTATATTCAATCAGTTGAGTAATGAAATTGTGTTGTGTTTTCAAAGCATTTTAAGAAAATTGTTTTGCTTTTATTTGCACTAGTGTATGATCATGATTATACTTTTAAAATGGATTTTGTAATGGATATGCTTGCTTTAATTTTTTGTAAAATTAAATTCTTTTGTAAGTCCCTTTAAGTCTTTTGTAAACCCTTTTGTGGACCAGTCAATCAAAAAGTGGCATACAAAGACCTGAAATAAATAAAAATTAAATTAGAACATTGTTGATGTCTTCATTATTTGTTAGATCTATGGTCTTTTCTTCTCAGCTTGGCCTTATTGCATACTTATGGTATTTTCACTCTACTTTAATAATAAGAAATAATGAGATTAAAGTGGGGGGGGGTAGAATTGGCAGCATCTGAAATAAAACTAATACAACATCTAAGCCAAAGGAAATCATTTAAAGGAATTTGCTTTTTCTTTGTAATACTTCGATGGTGTGGATATATGTTCAATAACAGTCATTATTCATATAAATCTGAAAAGCAGATTTTGGGCTGATTTGAAACCAACAAGGATAGGACATTTCTGATTTTGGCTGGATCACACTGAGTTTGAGACATAGAACTTTATTACAAAAACATTTATTCTATTCTACAGGCATGTTTACATATCATAAGGACTCTCATTGTCATTGGTTTAGCAGCTTGAGCTGTGATAATTACTCTGAATTCCGATTGGTTGGAGCTGTATCCTTTTCTGCCCACTAGAAGGTGCTGCATACATAGTAAATAAACCATGTCCAAAATATTTAAATGTTTTATGTATTTTAAAATTATTTTTCCTTTCATAGTACTTGGGGGAGCGTAGAGAAATCTATGATTGGAATGAAATCAGCATATATTTTACTGATTGTGTAAACATGTATGAAGGCAAGCATGTCAGTACAAAAATGGGGTAGTTTGTATTGCACTGATGTCAGTGTCAGAACTCTCATTATTGTGAATAGACTTTATTCTCACATTTGCTCTTGCACACTTGATAAAAGGGTTGTGGATTCAGCACAGCTCTGACCTAACTCTGCATAACACTTTCCTAAGACTTGCCTATACGCATGACATTGGGATTATAACATGTAACTAAACTGACCAGTATCCCTTTGTGCAGCTGTGTACTGTAAATGGTGTAACCTATGGAGGTAAATTGCCCCAAATTAAAATATCACCATAGACATTATGCAACAGGTAATGTCTATGGTGATTTTTAACTTGGGGCAGTCTCCAGAAGTTAATGTTTGGATTACACCAGTGTAACTAGACAAAAGGATTTGAGCCATTCTCAGTATCTTTGACTCAAGTATCTGTGACTGGGTTGTAATGTGAAGACTGTAGTGGAGGGCACCCACTGTTTAAATCCTTTTACCCTTCATGAACAATTTCTCATACATATGAAGGAAGCATGTCATCCCAAGTGCAAGGACACACATGTCATTTTAGGTGCTGTAAACTATGTTGGCCTGCCTGAATTGTAATGCAGACACTTCAAGAAGCATTTAACCTTCTAAAGGATGTTACTTTTATATAACCCATAGGTCTGACATTTGATGGCTGGTCCAGAAAACACTAGTCACAGCTAGAGCAGGCTTATTGAATCAATGGAACCGACTCACCAAATCCCCGTTGATTCAGTGGGCCTACTCTAATTGTGACAGCCATTGATTTTTTTTTTTTTAATTTTTTTTTTGAGGAGTGTGCCCATCGTTTTTACAGGGTATAGGTTGCATTTAACTTCATGGCATTAAAAACTGCTGGAAAAATAAACTCAGTGAGATAGTGAGATAGACATACGTATAGAGCCAGAGGTTGGAAGTTTGGTTCCCTGCTTGCCTCCTGATGGTACATAATTACTAATCTGTTTTTAAAATGGAAGCCATTTCTTTGCATTATACTCTTAAATATGAAAATGTTTTTCACTATTAAATATAAATGTGGTACAGTCATTACATAGAGATTAATTTGGAGCATAAGGCAGCAAAATGCTTGTGTCACTTTGTGATTGTCCTTTAAAGTAAAATCCTAAGATGCCCATGAAAAGGTTACCTTTCTGGGCTTTGTTGATATTTCAGGCTAAAGCCAGTTGTTAGTTCCAACTAGAGTAGAGGCATTGAACTGATCAATATCTGTAATTTCCATTGATTCAGTCGGCCTCCTCTAGCTGGGGACTAACAAATGGATTTAGCCCATAGTACAAGGAACAACAGATACTGTACTTGTAAACACTCATATACAGTATATCTCTGGTCATCCTGAATTGCCTCTGGCTATTCAATGAAGCTTTTTAATGCATATGTGTTTATGTTTGTGTCTATGTTTTGGATGTTTTCATATAAAATTCTAAATGGTAGAGAAATCTTTTGCTCATAGAAATGCTTTTTATGGCTTAATCATCATATGGCGTTTTCAGGGTAAACAGTACTCAAAAGTGTTTTGCCATTCCATTCTTCTGGGGGCATCCTGGGACTGTGCAGCTTGCCCAAGGCCACACAGGCTGGCTCTTCTCCCTGGAGGCACAGTGGGGCATCAGACTCCCAAATTCTGACTCCATGGCTAGCTATCTAACTGACTGAACTATCCAGCCAGCTTCTGCTGCTTATACACCATAAAACACTGTACTGGAGAGTGCAAAATAAGTATTTATTCATTAATATTTTAAACATAAATTTCAGTAGTTTGTAACTGTTAGATATTGTTTAATATTATTTGGAAGTCGTCTTTAAACTTTTATGTTCCTGGGTTATTAAAACTGTAGTATATTACTCTGTTATAATACTGTACTATGATTTTAAACTTAACATCCAGCCCTTAGCTTATGGGACTTGCTGTCTATAACAGTATCACACTGGACATTCGATTTCCACTGTGCTGCTACAAAAAGCTGCTTAGTCCTCCTATTGTACCATGTGACCAGAGTGCACCTGTAGGAATTTGCAGTGTAAATATTGATGATCTACGTCAGGTTATGCCGGTAGGTATAAATCATTATCTTTTTAAAAACAAAATAAAAAACACTTTCAAGAACTAATTCTTCTCTTGCTAGTTTTAAAAATTTCTTACAGCTTTGTCTTCAATCACATTTTTATAATCTCCAGCATTTTCAGATATATGCAATTTGTATTCTGTAAGCATTGTAACTTTCTATTTGTCAGTGGAAAACCAACATATGTTTTATAATATGGGCCAATGTAAGGCTGATGATGTAATCAGCAGAGATTCCTCCTCCCCCAAAATTATATATACCGTATTTTTCGCTCCATAAGACGCACAGACTTTCTACCCCCCTGTTTTGTGGGGGGAAAAGTGCGTCTTATGGTGCGAAAAATACGGTATTTCTTCTTCTGTGCTCCGGATCCCATGGCTGCCATGTAATACAAGTCATTGTGGGAAAGCTGTGGGAGCTGCAGGATAGAAAGAGAAAGTCTTTAATTACTGGAAATTGTTGCTACCAGCAATTGTGATTCTCAGTAAAGGTTTCCTTCTCCTGTTCCACAACATTCCAATGATGAAAGGGAGCCTTGGGACGGAAATAGAAACTGAGTACAGTAATTACAAAAATATTGCCCTTACTGATGACAAATCAGCTTTATACAGGCATAGTTGCACAATGATCAGATAGAAGTAAATTTCATACTTTAATGGTAAAATTCAATACTCGATCATTTGTGTTAGCTTTGTGCTTATTATGAACCAAAGAAGCCATCTAATGCTAACCGTGATTTGCAGCTTTGGGCCAAATGATAGCTTCCATTTGTGGTACAGTACATTGTTAAACCCTTGCATCACCACAAGCATGAAGCTATAGTGAGCAAGTGAAAAAAGGAGCCACTGAAAAAAAGAGATAAGTATTAATCTTAATTTTGACCAAACTCGGGGAGGCAGTGGAAGACAGGAGGGCCTGGCGTGCTCTGGTCCATGGGGTCACAAAGAGTCGGACACAAATTAACAATTAAATAACAACATTAATCCTAATACTTCAGAATCTATAATTGCAAGTGAGTTAAGGACATTTTAGGGTGCTATTCACTTAGACAGTTATTTCAGTTTAATAATCCACTTTAACTTCTCTACAATTGTCATGTATGTTTAATTTACACCTACGTGTACTTAATGATTGCTCGATATTTGACAATCTGCAGTTGAATTATGAATACTTGTCTCTTTTGACAAGTATTGTAGCTAGTCCTGTGTATGAAGTTTGATTTATGATAACTTTTTCATAAGTACATGACATCATTTAATAGCGTCCCACATAAAAGGCTGATGAAGATGTTACAGTAGGGCCCTAAAAAGATGCATTTTATTTGCTGTGCAACATTGGAAGGGGGAATTTGTACATCTTCACAGAGATACGATATACATGTTCAAAACTATTGCAGTGTCTTTGTCTCATCTGCTCATCTGTTTGAGAGTGCTCTGCTGGCCCTGAGATGTTCATCATCCCTACTACCAGATTTATATTATATTATATTTATTTATTTATTTATTTATTTATTTATTTATTAGATTTTTACCCCACCCCTTTAGATAATGTCTACTATATGCCCACTATATGTCAACACATTTTTCTGCCTCTCCAGAACATGTTCATTATGTCCTTCAAATTGCAGATCATACTACCAGAAAATCACAGCAGGATACCTGCAGTATGGACATAGTCTCACTTCAGTCCTGGGCACACCGAAACACTAGAGCACCAAGGCAGTGACACAAGGGTTGAAATCTGTTGCCATAAGTTATGGCACAGAAGTTTGATTCCCCCTGAAATTCCAAAGGCTCCTATGGGATCCCTATTGTTGTGGTGGAAGCCACTGGAAACCATGTGGGGGAGGGAGTCTTTAATTTCTCATGGGATGATTTTACCAGCAGCTGCCATTTTCAAAAATTAAAGACTTCTCCGATCCCTGAGACCCCAATGGATCCCCATTTTGAAAGAGAAACCATGAGAACTTCAGGAGGAATCAGAAATTTTTTATTTACAGAAAAATCACCATCTCTGATGGCATCATCAGCTTTACACGGCTATGTTGTAAAACAAGATTTCAGCCAAAGACTAACATTTAACTATTTATAAATATTTAGGATTTGAGATGAGTTATGTGTAGTTCCCGAATCCTGGCATTAGCAGCATAATCTAGTAAGACATTAGCAGAAACTAACAGCTACTATATATTACATACAAACGTGTATTAGAATCACAATGGCATTGCCTACAAAAACGCAGCTACAGGTGGTTTTGAATACAGTGGTGCCTCGCTTAACGGCGATAATCCGTTCCAGGACAATTGCTGTTAAGCGAAAACATCGTAGAACAAAAATAAAAAGTCCATTGAAACACATTGAAAACTGATCAATGCATTCCAATGGGCTAAAAACTCACCGTCCAGCGAAGATCCTCCATACAGTGGCCATTTTCGGTGCCTATATAGCAAGGAATCCGTCCCTAAACACAGCGGGGAGCCATTTTAATTACCCAGTGGCCATTTTGAAACCACCGATAAGCGGTAAAAAAAACATCATTTTGTGAAGAATCAATTCCCGAAGCAGGGAACCGATCATCGCAAAGCGAAGAAACCCTATTTAGACCATTGTTTTGCAATTGCAAAAATGACGTTGTGAAGCGGAGGGCAATCGTTAAGCGAGGCACCACTGTATTCAAGTGGTTGATTTAGTGCTTAGACTTTCCCCATCTGTAATTTGTCCACTCAGAATTCCACAAATGGCTCTCCCACTGCAGAGCTCAAAAAGGACATTAATATGTTACTGGAATTTGCATGTACTGTACCGTGTAATAAGATTTAGCTGGAATTGGTAGCTTTTTCTTTTGCACTTTTCCAGAATTGGATTCCATCCCTGAATACACACATTTTAACTTCCTATTTACATTCATAGTGAAAAGATGAACATCTGTGAGGATAAATACTTTGCCAGTATTACCAAAAAGTGATATACATATAGGCTTCTTATTTTTCATGTAAGATAGATCTAAAGCAGCATATAAACAGTTAGCTAGGAGTCAAGACATCTTTAGTTCCTTTTTCATTGCTGTCATGAAAGTAAAGTAAACTCTGTACTTGGATGAAAGTTCCAACAAGAAAACTGACAAAATACCGGTTGTCGCAACACTGGTAATTTTTAAAAATATACATGTTTTATTTTAATTTTTGAATCAGTTGAGCTCAGCTGCTGATCATTTTGCAAAGTGATACCTTCTTTTGGCCCAAATGAAACAAAGAAAATAGGTGGAAATAATCATAGGGCAGCTTTTATGTTATATTTTGTATTGCAATGGAGAAACACTAGTGCAGAATACACACATAAATCATCTATTGTAAATGCAAACTGTTGCTTTTCCTTTTTAAAATACATCAATACAGCTAGTAGAAAAGGTTGAGATGCTTTTAGCATGTGTTTCAAAAGGGGAAGCAACAATTAGTACACATGTACACATCTGATCTGATGCAGTATGGGTATGGTTTAATATCTGTAACATGGAATGCTCACACCTTCTCCACTGATCTCTTGCCCATTTTTCTTTGAGAGCGATATAAATGGAAAGTGACTCTTTGTGCTATAAATGTTGCAAATTCTTCTTCTAGGAACTGGCGCATGGACTAAGTGAACTTCTGTCCTATGAAGGGAATGTTGAAGAAGACTTTTACTCAACCTTCCAGGTATAATAGGTGTACAAAATTACTGTAAAACAGAACAAACTAGTTTAGAACAACCTTCCATGTCCTGTTCCTCAAAAGAGCAAAATTAGAATGCATTTACAGTAGTTTAAGAGAAATTATTCTGAAAATTAAGAACTGTAAATAAAATAAAACTTGGATATAAAAATATCACAAAAACTCTTAGAATGTTTAGTTTATCTAGTATTCATTGGTCAAAATTCTATTGCAAAATATAGCATGTGTAAGGAAAATCATTGTGAAAGCAGTTTTCACAATGTTCTGGGTTTCTGTCGTGTGCCCAGGGGTACAGCCATGCACCAACATGCACAACAAAGTGCACAACTGAGTACTTGACCTGAGTTTGCCCAACAATGCAACAAACAGAATGAATGCATATATCAGTTATGCACAGTTTCCAGTTTACGTTATATGATTGCAATAAAATTCTGGTCACTGGCTACTTACTAGCTAGCTAGTTGAGATATGGGTTCATTGCTGGTTATAACCATGACCTGAGGGAGTAGTTTAATTCAGTGGTTCTTAACCTTGGTTTACTCAGGTGTTTTTGGACTGCAACTCCCAGAAGCCTTCACCACCAGCTGTGCTGGCTGGGGTTTCTGGGAGTTGCAGTTCAAAAACGCCTGAGTAACCAAGGTTAAGAACCACTGGTTTAATTTATCATCGAGTCCAGCCCCTGTCAGGGAGACACAGTGGGGAACTGAACTCCCAACCTCTGGCTCCACAGCCAGAGACCTAAACCACTGATCTATTTAGCAGTCAGTGTGTATAAAATAGTTTTGTTGCCATCAGAGTGTATAAAACAGGAATAGAAGTGTTATGTTGATTTTGTTTTTAATGATTTAAAGAGCGTATACCTGAAAACGTGACCAAGAGCAAAGGTTTTAAAAGAGCAAGTTGTGGACAAAGATACAGCATTTATCCTTCTCAATAACAAAGTCGGAACAGCTGGCACAATGCCAGAGAACATGGCCCGCTCATTGTACTGTCAGCTGCATTGTGTAGTGTTTGTCAAGTTCAAGAGCAGTCTTCAAGTTGGAATAGAACTAGAATTGACATCAGAGAACTTGAAGGTAAATGAGATTTTTCAATAAATGCATAAAGTCTCTCCAGACAAAGAAGGCAGCAATGTCTCCAGTAAAAGACGAAGTGACATGATTGGCATCCTGCTATCTATTGATAGCTATATGATTTTCTCTTGTTATCTTCACTTAGATAGACCACAGAATACAAAGGTTGGGAAAGTTATTTGATCCCAGTAATCGCCACGAGCCTAGTAAAACCTACTCCAAACATATTCAGTGCATACAGATTGAACAATAACAGAACCTGCCATGATTTTTCTTCTGCTACTGTGAACCCAGTTTCTACTCACCTTCATTGTGGAAAGGTGGGGAAATGCATGCCTCCAGATTCACTGGTAATTCAGATTAATACAATATTGAGTATATACACGTTTATTCAGTTAATCGTGTATTCCTGAATTACATCCTGGAAATCAATTTTAAAACATTAAATGTTTGCCTTAGGGTTAGTGCCAGTAAGTGCAGTGCATCCACAATTTGCTCTGTAAACAGCATAGCCCAGTTTCTCCTGTGGATGTTCTGCAAAATAAGATGCCACATCTAAATAAAAATTGCGACATAATTTCCGCAGCTCACCACCAAGATTATGTACATCTGTAGGTAAGGTTGAAAAGGGATATAAAACATCACTATCTGAGCATAGTTATGTTTTACATCTCAGACAGCAAGACAGATGTGCAATGGGCAAAAGAGTGTAATTAGATCATTAACTAATGATAGCTTATTAGCACTGAAAAAGGTTGAAAGCAGAGCAAAGTACTGCTCTAGCACTGCTTGGCAGAGAGGTCTGTTTTGAAAAGGACAACCAAATATGAGATCTCACAAGTTTGGTAGCCATAATTTATATAGACCATGGTTTAAGCTAAGGTTAGTTACTAAACAATGGCCAGAATCTTACTAGTGTTTATTAAGTTTTGCATAGTCTGCTGAAGCTAATTGCAGCTAATTGATGAGATTTTGTGGCATGGGTCAATCATGTGCCTTGTTGTAAGCCCAGTTGTTCCAGTTAAATGCACTCTACCACCTCATTGATTAGGTAAAGTTAGTTGCAGCAAGTTACAGAAACCTTAAACAAACAACAATAGGATTTCAGCAAATCCTTTTAAAGACAGGGTAGTTTTATTCACCAGGTCTAGGTCTAGCTTTGGCTTAAGGCTCCAGAGGTTTTGCCATACCTTCAGCATTAAGACATCCTCATATTTTGTTTACATGTGAAGAATATCTAGCTTTTGCTAGAACTAGTCTGAATATGATATTATTAATGATCAGATATTCTGACAAAAGGATGTTTTGTTAGAACAGCATTTATGAGTATTTGTTCACATTACATTTATATATAATCTCTTCTCAAGAAGCTCAAAATGATGTAAAATAAACCTTCATTGCATCCCCACAGGAATCTTTGAGACCAGGTAGGCTGAGTAATACTGACTGGTGCAATGATGGCCAATTAACATTGTGGCAAAGTAATAAACCACATTTTTCTCCAATCCTAATCAGACATACAGGTTGCTGGAAAACATTAATATTGTCTTTTTTGTCAGGTTTTTCAAGAGGAATTTGGAGTCATAAAAACGTACAGCCTAAAGTCCGGTGGTGATAAAATTTCAGTTACCAATCAGAATAGAAAAGGTAATTTATGTCCACATTCAGTTGATAAGTACTGAGGTATGCTTTAAAATGAGATTCTTATTTTTGAACTCGTTTATAAGACTGCACTTGGTAATAATGTAGTAGCTCTAAATATTCTTATTTAGCTAACTAAGATATGGTGCAATAAATAGCAATTATGAAATCAGAACTATTATTTTTTTCAGAGTATGTGCAGCTTTATGTAGATTTCCTTCTCAACAAATCAATCTACAAACAATTTGCAGCATTTTATTATGGATTTCACAGTGTCTGTGCATCTTATGCATTGATGGTAAGAATAAAAGTCTCTGAAGGAAAGTTTAATAAATCATTTTATGTATTAAAGATTGTACCTATGCATGTGTGTGATAACGCAGTGAATATCTTAAATATCTTAGAATAACCTTTTGCCTACAAAAGGTACAAATAATTATATGAATGTGTGATCAATAGTTGCGGTACACGGAAGTCTGTATAAGCACTTAAGAGATTTGACCGCTAAGTTTGTTGTTTCTCCATTACAGTGGACTTTTCCTCCACAGCTCAAAACTACATTGCAATCTTAGTGCTTAGAAAGAAGATGGAGTAAAAGAACCACATGAGGAATAGGTGGAAAGTGTAGCAGCTACATCTTCTCTGGGATCCTCTGAGCTTTAAAAATATTGACACCATGTTTAGACGTGGATCTGGCAGTCCCAAGAATAATGGACTAAATCCAATGTTCCACTGATGGTTGCTGCATATATATTCCTCTCCGCGCTTCTGCTCTACCTGAAAAACTGGCTCCAAAAGGTTTGCCATATCTTCAGAACCAGTTGTGGATGTGTTCAAGGGGGAACAGAGCTGCAGTGGGGAGAGTGACTCTCAAGGGAAACAGCAGTGTGGCTTTCATGCAATACATTTTGTTTTAACAGATGTGTAGTAGCATTTACACTAAGGAGAAGCATATTATCTAATCAGGATAAAATAAAGTGAAGATGGAAACAATATATTGAAGAACTATGCAGAAGACATACAAAGATAACAAATTCCTTTGAAAAAGAATCTTGTAATAAATAACCTAATGTTCTAGAAGGTGAAGTAAAAGCTGCTGAAAGAAATCACCCAAAGTGGGTAGAATACCGATGGAAATGTTTCAAGCTGTAGAGGCGGAATCTATCAAAATCGTAAGCAGAATATGGCAACAAATATCGAGAACACAATGGCCTGCAGACTGGAAATCTTCCAGTCCCCGAGGGAGGATACAATGAAAGAGTACAATAGCTATAGAACTGTTGCATTAATTTCTCACGTGAGCAAAGTGATGATCAAAGTGTTGCAACAAAGACTTTTGCCATAGATGGAGCGAGAAATGTTTGATGTTCATACTGGAATCCAGAAAGGAAGAGGCACCAGAGATCACATTGCAAAGAGCACTGGAGCATACCAAAAATTTCAGAAAAAGACTAGTCTGTGCTTTACAGACTACAATAAAGCTTTTGACTCTGTGGATCATGGGAAGTTATGGATCATTTTCAAAGAAGTTGATGTCTCAGTACTTAATTATCCTGATGTGCAACCTGTACTGTGGACAAGAAGCTGATGTCAGGACAGGCTGTAAAGAAACTGAAAGAATTCCAGTTGGCAGAAGTGTCAGACAAGGGTGTAATTTATTTCTTTATCTAGAAAGCTGCAGTATATTCAGGTGAATAAGGAATGATAATTCATGGAGGAAACAACAATAATGTAAGATATGCAGAAAGGACTAGAAAAGATCCTCAGCTTTAAGGATGCGTCACTGCAGAAAAAGGCCAAGATCATCTATACTATAATATGTGTAGATACTATGTACAGATGTGAAACTGGGCACTAAGGAAACCTGATAGAAAATCAACTCATTCAGAGTATAGAATTGGAGTAGATCTTTATGGATGCCATGGACTGACAGAAAGATAAGTAGATGTTAGATAAAATCAAGCCTGAATTCTCTCTAGAATTAAAAAAAATGACTAAACTGAGGCTATTGTATTTTATCCATATCATGAGAAAACAGTTCTCACAGGAAAAGACAATACTGCTGGGAAAAGCTGAAGGTATCAGAAAAAGAGTAAGGCTGAAGATGAGATGGATTGTCTCAGTAAAGGAAGGACTTTGGGTTTGTGAGATTTGAGCAGGGATGTTAGCAGTACAACCTTCTGGAGATTGATAAATTGTACTTTCACTGTAAATCAGAAGCAATTCAATAGTGCATAACAACAACAGTGGCACTTCTAAAAAATACTCTGTAGACACTGATGTGCAGCAAATTGAACATGGTTCAGAGGTAGGAAGTCCTAGCTAAATTTCAGCTCTTAGTTCCTATTTAAAAAGCACAAGAAAGTAGTAAACTTTTGATGCACATGCTCTTTTTAACATGCTTTGTGCAGGCCAGGAACAATGTGATTTCTTTTTCTTAGCACCTTAATGGTATTATATATCAATACAGGATGATTCACAGAATGGATTTGTATTTAAGAGGAACTACAGTGGTGCCTCGCACAACGATGTTAATTGGTTCCAAAAAAAAAAAAAAAGTTCTGTGAAAACATCGTTCTGTGAAACACCATTTCCCATAGAGATGCATTGAAAACCGGACAATCCGTTCCAATTGGAACGGATTGCCGTCCTTAAGCGAAAATCTCCATAGGAAACATCGTTGTGTGAAACAATGTATCCACCATTCAAATGCATTGAGTAGGCTTCAAGGCATCTCAATGGGGGAGAAAAAAATTCACCAAAAATTAACGAAGACTCAGAACAAAGCCAGGTTAAGTTTGCAAAGGTTTCACAAGCTGCACTAACGAGTCCAAGCATTTAAAACAGTTTCTGAGTCTTCATTAAATTTTGGTAAATTTTTGTCTGTCCCATTGAGATGCATAGACCCCCCCCAACCAAGAAGCAGCATGGCAGCAGTTAAAAAATTTTTAAAATCAGATTCGAACTTGGGCATCCAAATCCCAGAGGCAGGCATGGCCACAAGAGAACAGCAACCAATTCCTTGCAGAATTCCACAGACACAAAGCATAACCCCCCCCCAACCAAGAAGCAGCATGCAGGAAAAAAAATTAAAATCAGGTTTGAACTTGGGCATCCAAATCCCAGAGGCAGGCATGCCCACAAGAGAACAGCAATCATTTCCTTGCAGAATTCCACACACACAAAGCATAAAAAAACCCCCAACCAAGAAGCAGCATGCAGGAAAAAAAATTAAAATCAGGTTTGAACTTGGGCATTCAAATCCCACACAAATCCACAGAAACCCCCAGCCAAAAAAACCCCTGCAATTTCCCCAGTGAAAAAAAAACCCATAACCAAAGCCAGACAGACCCAAATTCCCCCTTGCAAAAATCATCAGAGTTTTGCAATACAGTACAGTACAGCTACACTGTAAAACCGACCACCCACCCAGGAGAAGAAATGCAAGCTTACCTTTGAAAGTTCTCCAGCACAGAAAGCACCCACAAGACAGAGCAAAGAGGCAAAGCCAACCTTTGAACTGCATGTGGGAAAGTAAACCCAGGATGCATGAGGAAGGGTTTTTATCCCTTCCCTGCACAGGCGCAATGCATCCTGGGTACAGGCAGTTAGATGAACAAATTAGCATTGCCAAACAGCCACCTTTCCCGCTCTTTTTTGAAAACATTGTTAAGTGAAACAGGGGACCCAAAATGCAATCGTTCTGTGAAGCATGGTCCCCAAATCGTTGTGCGAAAATTCCCCATAGGAAACATCATTGTGTGAGGCGGCAAATTTTTCAGAAAAAGTCATCGTTGTGTGAATTTATCGTTGTGTGAGGTACTCGTGCGAGGCACCACTGTAAATTGAAATATAAAGACAATGCTTCCTGATTGACTAGTTAATGTGATCTAGTTTTCAAATTAAATCATCTGACAGCTGCTTCGTCCTGAAGAGGTTGAAATTCTAGTTTGTGGAAGTCCTGAACTGGACATGCATGCTCTCCAGAAGCACACACAGTACGACGGCTACCAAAAAAATGATCTTACTATCCGGTAAACCTATTCTTTTTTCCTTCAATCCTTACTGCATACTTATACATAAATACAGCAAGTACTGACTATATGTGGGAACTAACATTGGGTTTATGTATACTATAGGTATTTCTGGGAAGTAGTACTTGAGTTTCCTCTTGAACTTCAAAAGAAGCTCTTGCATTTTGCTACAGGAAGTGACAGAGTACCTGTAGGGGGAATGGCTGACTTGAATTTCAAGATTTCGAAGAGTGAAGCATCCACAAACTGGTAACTTACTTTCCTTTCCATTCATATTATTCTGTCTTCAAAATGTATGAGATTGCTTCACAGAGGGATTGGATGATCTTTGGGGAACCTTTCAGCTCTACAGTGCTGAAAGCTTACTATTCTGTGGTACTGGCCAAAATCCAGGTACAGTGGGGTCTCGACTTAAGAACTTAATCCGTATTGGAAGGTGGTTCTCAAGTCGAAAAGTTCTTAAGTCGAATCTGCATTTCCCATAGGAATGCATTGAAAACCATTTAATCCGTATCTGCTCTTTTCTGTCCATAGAAACTAATGGGAAGCTGCTATTCTGCCTTCTGCCACTAGAAGCTGGGGAAGCTGCTATTCTGCCTTCTGCCTTTTTCCCCTTAGGTTCAGGGAAGGCAGGGAACACTAAAGGCAGCACTTTAGAACTCTTTTTTTTTTAAACGAAGCCAATTTTAAATAATGTTTTAAAGCATGTTGTGCTGATTTTTTCAGCACAAAGGCACTCAGGCAGGCTTTTTAGGTGCTGAGCAAGCCTCCAGAAGCCTGCTCAGAGCCAGCCGATCAGCTGTTAGGCGGGGAGAGGAGCGCGGAAAACCACAAAATGGCTGCCAGGCTCTTTCTGGGTGTCAGCTTTTAGCTCTTTCCTGCTCTTTTTCCTGTGGTTTGGGGGCTACCAAGGCCTGGTAAGTGACTTTATTTAACCGTACAGTATTTATTTTTAAGTTTCTGACCCTTTTCCCCCCTCCAGAAGCCTCTAAGGGGAGGGAGGGGGGGCTTTTTTCCCTGTTCATAACTCGAGGGAAGTTCGCATGTCGAGTCCTTACTTTCCCTATAGGGCAGGTTCGTAACTCGAATTGTTCACACGTCGGGTCGTTCGTAAGTCGAGACCCCACTGTAGAGTAAACCCTTTGAATAATGGAATTTACATAAGTATTGACTTGTTATTCTGGAATTTTGCAACAGGTCTACTCTAATTAAAACTTGCTATTGTATTTAGGCCAATATGTCACTGTTCCTCAATACTTATTGTGAATCTTAGATATATTTCTTCTATTTGGAACTCTAAAACAAAAAAAACAAATCCTCCAAATGATGGTAAAAAAAGCAATTATCCTCAAAATAAGGAATATCAAAATTTGTGGAACAAAGAGATCATATTTTATACAGAACAGTGGTTATTTGTGCAGTGAGATAGGTAAGAACCCTTCTAAAGCAGTGAATTAATATACTTTCATGTTGTTAGGCATCAGTGGTTTTATACTAGCTATGGAAAGCAATGATTGGTGGGAGATCCAGAAAAATGAAATTTTCATAATGGAAACTGCCCCACTTTTACCCTCCTATTGCAAAAATATGTGTGGTTGGGGAAAAGAAAATCAGAAGTACAGCTTGGGCTGCAACTACAAATATGAGAAGATTCTAAGGGAATTCGCAGTAACTTTGATCACTGCACAAGATGCAAGCCCGGGTGACATTTTAAAAAGAGCCAATTGGTGCTATTTTTAAACTGCAAACAGGGCTTCAATCACCAGCCAGTCAGTGCTGAAAGGCTTCCCAGCTACTGACAGCACTGAGAACGGGACTCAACTTCTGGCAAAAATGGAACCTCTGGAGCTGCCCCCTCAGCCAAGAACAGTGTTGCTGCCTGACCAGTGCCAGAAAGGCTTCCTGGCCACCTTGACATTGGCCGGCTGGCAATGTTGTTTTTGCCAAGGGGCAGATCCAGCTTATTTCCTGCATGGCAAATAGGTGAGGTTGCCCAGAACCCAACACTGTTAGTAGCAGTGGAAAGGTTCTCAGTGCTGGCCAACCCGCAGGCCAACTGCTGCTTCACACCCTGTTTTAAAACTTCCTTATGTAAAAAGTTAACTGTGGATTAGCTGAAATGTGACATTCCTGTCCTTTGTTTAAAATCCCATGAATCTGGGGCAATGTTAAGTGATTTTGCACATTTTGCACCCCTTTTCCTAATGGAATACAGATTACTTTAAATTACTTTTCTCTGAATTAATCTTTACGGAATTCACTATCTTACAATGAAGGGGGTGCATTTACTTCCTAATATAAGACAGGTTTTGTGTAAGAAAGGAGTGTTGTTTGGATGACGGTCATCTTCCACGATGATAGGGTACTGAGGACAACTTTATTCTCACAGAAGAAAGCAGTGGTTCTTTGTGGCTTCGGTGATTGACACTATGGGTAATCCGCGCATGCGCTGAGCCTCATCAGAATATTCCAGAGCAGCTTGTTTAAATGTATGTAGAAAATGGACGGAGGGAGGATCGGTGTTTGTGTGTACGAGAGAGAGAGAGAGAGACTGACTCAAAACTATGAAAAAAGGAACAGGCAAACAGGACGGAAGGCTTGAATTAAAGGGGGGAAAGGGTGGCTTCGCCAAGCTTGTTTAAATGTAATGAGAGGAAATGGACATACTGAACTGAAGCAACTAATTGTTGAAAATTGAGGGAAGAAGGGTTTGTGTGCATGAGTGTGTGTGTGTGAGAGAGACTTGACTCTCATAAAACCATGAAAAAAGGAACCTTTTAAAATTTAATCTCCACTGCATTTAGCTCTGCAGTTTCTGCTGAGGACAGCAGAAGTCTGAAGTGTGTAGCAATCACGTTTCTCTATTTCTCATCCCCAAAGCAGACAAGAGTATCATAATTTATTCCCAAAATCTGAATCCCAGTCTTTCCGCTCCTGGTCATACTTTGACTGCAGCACCAAACAAAAGACTGTGGGTTTATTGAGTCAATCCATCTCATGTGCAGTCTTCCTCTTTTCCAACTGCATTACACTTTTTCTTGCATTGCTGCCCTTTCCAGTGAGCTTGTCTTCTTATGATGCCACTGTAATACAGTACCCTTTGTTTGGTTATTTTAGCTTGTAGTGACAGTCCACACTTAATTAACTTTACTTATCTTTCTGACAAGTCATAATAGGTTTGTCATCACTTTTCTCCCAAGAAGCAGGTGTCTTTTAATTTCGTGGCTGCTGTCACCGTCTGCAGTGATCATGGAGCCCAAGAAAGTAACATCTGTCACTGCCTCCATGTCTTCCCCTTTTGTTTACCAGGAGGTGATGGGACCAGTGGCCATTAGTTTTTCTGATGTTGAGCTTCAGACCATTTTTTGCACTCTCCTCTTTCACCCTCATTAGGAAGTTCTTTAATTCCTCCCCACTTTCTGCCATAAAAGTGGTATCGTCTGCATATCTGAGGTTGTTGATATTTCTCCCGGTAATCTTAATTCCGTTTTGGGATTCATCCAGTCCGGCCTTTCGCATGATGTATTCTGCATATAAGTTAAATAAGCAGGGAGATTTTCGCATGATGTATTCTGCATATATGTTAAATAAGCAGGGAGACAATATACAACACTGTCGTCCTCCTTTCCCAATTTTGAACAAATCAGTTGCTCCATATCCAGTTCTAACTGTTGCTTCCTGTCCCACATATAGATTTCTCAGGAGATAGATAAGGTGGTCAGGCACTCCCATTTCTTTAAGAACTTGCCATAGTTTGCTGTGGTCCACACGGTCAAAGTCATTTGCGCAGTCAGTGAAGCAGATGTTTTTCTGGAACTCTCTGGCTTTCTCCATAATCCAGCACATTTTAGTAATTTGGTCTCTAGTTCCTCTGCCCCTTTGAAATCCAGCTTGTACTTCTGGGAGTTCTCGGTCCACATATTGCTGAAGCCTACCTTGTAGGATTTTGAGCATAACCTTGCTAGCATGTGAAATTAGTGCAATTGTATGGTAGTTGGAGCATTCTTTGGCACTTCCCTTCTTTGGGATTGGGATGTAGACTGATCTTTTCCAATCCTCTGGCCACTGCTGAGTTTTCCATTGATGATGATTTAAAAAATAGCGCACTGGTCCTTTGATATTGAGCTGTGTCATCAGGGTGGGTTACATCAGTGGTCCTCAACCTTGGGCCTCCAGATGTTCTTGGACTTCAACTCCCAGAAATCCTGGCCAGCAGAGATGGTGGTGAAGGCTTCTGGGAGTTGTAGTCCAAGAACATCTGGAGGCCCAAGGTTGGGGACCACTGGGTTACATGACCTTTAGCCTGGTTTGTTCATTTTTGCACACCACACACAGAATGATTAAAGTGGTAGGAACCACCACCACCCCGCATTGACTGTTTCTAGCAAGCATGTCATTGTTAGCACCACTCTGGCAGCCATTTATGATGATTAAATCCTCTGCGAGCTAGCAAAAATTTAATGCAACTTGCTGGGCACGTTTGACACCTTACTACTCCCTATACTACCCAATGGCTGTAGTGCAATGTGTTCCAGCAAAAGTAGTGCACATCTTTATTAAATTTGGTGCATCCTGCTAGTTTGGTACATAGCCTGGCAGCCATTGATATTGATTATATATCCTGCTAGTTCAGTACACAGCCTGTGTAGATTCAAAAATATTTTGAATTCAAATAATGTATGATTTCCTTCCTTTCAAATCAAGGGGGTAATGTCAGTGTATATAATTTTTTTGGGGGGGGAGGGAAGGTAAAAAAGTTCCCTGACCCCTGTTCTAGAGCTTCTGCGGTAGCAAAAAATACATTAGAATAGACTCCTCCCCCCGGTATATGTGCTTTGGCACCAAGGCTTTCCCTTCAGTTTCTTTCAACCGCCACGTTGAGAGCCTCGATTGTTGCTTCTGTGAGAAATCTGAAAACGAAAGAAAGTAAAGTTATTGAACTTTATTTGTTATTATTATCCTTATTATTTACAAAACAAGATACGCTCCGGCCTTAGGGCCGAAGTGTCTCCCCCCATCTTCTCCATTGTTTTCTTTTCAAAACCGATTCTCGGTTCATGGGTTTTTCAGGCCTGTTTAAAACCTGCGTAGCTGCTAAAAAGAAAAAAAGATTGCGCTCTCTCATGGCCACACTTAATGCGTTTTTTACCTCAGTGAGGCACATCAAACTTCCTCGTGCCCTCACTGCAAAAACTTTAAATGCGGAGTTCTCCGCAGTCACCTCTCTAGACTCAAGCTTCAGCTCTGCA